CTGTAGGTCTGCAGAGCATCTGCATATCGAAGTCGGTGCCACAGAAGCTGCTGCAGCTGGACATCTCTCACAACTACCTGAGCGCGCTGCCTCAGTGGATCGGCGGCTGCGTGGCCTTGGAGACGCTGAACGCCACGCACAATCACTTGAGCCACATCAAGGAGCTGCTGAGGAATTATCGTATCAGCTGCCTGCGCTCGCTGAATCTCGCCTACAATGCGCTGCAGCAGCTGGACTATTTGCCTGAGGCCTTCTGCAGCGTGACGCGGCTGCAGCTGCAGAGCAACGAGCTGCAGCGGCTGCCCGATAACTTCTTCGCCGTGACCCATGGCCAGCTGAGCTCGCTGAACGTCGCCTGCAATCGACTGGCCCAGCTGCCGCGCTACGAGCAGAACAACAATGCGGCACTGGAGGAGCTCTGCCTGACGGGCAATCAGCTGAACGACAGCATATTCGAGCCACTGCTGCACGCGGGCAGGCTGAAGGTGCTGCGACTGGCCCACAATCGACTGGGAGTGCTGCCGGCGGAGTGCGTGCGCAACTGGTCGGAGCTGGAGGTGTTGGTGCTGTCGGGCAACATGCTGCAGCAGCTGCCGGACCAGGTGTCCGGCCTGAGTCAGCTGAAGGTGCTGCGCTGCTGCAACAATCTGCTGCTCAGCACGCCGCAGCTGTCGAAGCTGAGCCAGCTGAAGATCCTGGACCTGGCGCACAATCACTTGGACCGCATCAATCTGCTGTCGCTGGTGCCCTCGCGCAATCTCAAGTATCTGGACTTGTCGGGCAACTTGCAGCTGCAGGTGGATGAGCAGCAGCTGAAGGTCTGCCAGACGCAGAGTCAGCGTGTCTGGAGTCTGGTCGATGTCTCTGGCAACAATCGCGCCGCATTGCCCACCAGCACACGACGCCTGCCCGTGGAGTATAGCAAGGCGTCTGCCCAGAAGACCAAGTCCTTGCCCTGGTCCTTGGGCTTTGCCGAGACGCCAGGCGATGCGCGCAAGCTGCTCGTCACACAGCTACGCGCGAGCCAGTTCAACGGCAACGAAGAGGCGCTCCTTGGCATGTTCGAGTCGCAGACGGATGCGCGACAGGCACATCAAATGGCGCAACTGGTGCCCGGCCTGCTCAAGCAGGAGCAGTCACTGAAGGAGTCTCCGCTCAACGACTACATGAAGTACACACTGCTGACGGCGCAACGCCAGTGCGGTGGATGCCTGCGCAATGCCACGCTCCTCCACCTCCTGCGACAGCCCTCAAAGGTGCGTGCGCTCAAGTCCAAGCGCTACGTGTTGCGCCTGGCCCACCTGGGGCACTTTGATGCGTACCTGGTGCGACGCACAACCCACCTGCGGCTCACTGAGTCGCAGGCCGACTGCGATAGCCATAAATGCAACCAGACATCCCACACACTGCCCGATCCCGAGCTACTCGAGGTGAGTTCTAGCTAGAGATGTAAGCTCCTGGAGGGCAAAAATATATCCTAGGTCCATTTCCATATAAGAAATAGTTATATAAGAGATATAGTTGCATCTTACCTTACACTCTTCCTCTTCCTTACATGTTCGTATGTGTATTTATTCGAATTTGCTGTGAGCAGGCCTCTTCGGTTATTTTCGTTTCTCTTTTCCTCTTGTGGAGCGTCTTGAGTTGATCTAGGTATTCGTGGGACGCTCTTTTAACGAACATCGTTGCGGGAGAGCTA